TTGAACTCATCCCATCTGCCTTTTGGTCCATTTCTCCACCAAGAGAGAGCTCTTGCCAAAGACCTAATAACCCCCATGTTGCTAAATCCACTGATCCTTTACCTTCCTTGCATTTGACACAGTTGATCATTGCGTTCTCAGTTATACACCTTCTTCACTTGTCTTCCAGGACACCATATTCCTCTGGTTTATGTCCTGCCTTATTGCCCACTCTGTCTCCTTTGCTGCTTCCTATCTTTCACCCAGACTTCTTCACATTGGAGGCCCAGGTCTCAGTCCTTGGACTCCATCTGCTCCCCTGTTTGCCTCTAATCTCATGGTTGGATACCATCCATATACTGATGATTCACACAATTAGTTCTCCTTTCCAAACCTCTTTCCTGAACTTTAGGCTCAAATATGCAGCTATCTCTTGAAATCTCCACTTGGCTATTGAAGAACTATTTCAAAATTTGATGTATTCCAAATGGACTGATCCTTATCCACGTCCCCTAAAACTTAATTCTCAGGTTTTACCTCAGTTGTTGGCAACTTTCTCCTTCCAGTGGGACAGGCTCAAACCTTTGGCTTTCTCTTTACATACCACACCCTATATCAGGCAGTACAATCAGTTGTAATATATATATATATATATATATATATATATATATATATATATAAAATTTGCATATATATTGTCATTTTACCTATTGTCCCCATGATCCAAGACACTCTCATTCCTTATTTGGATTCTGGCAACAATCTCCTACCTGGTCTCCCCCTTTTGCTCTTGTTACTTTATAGTACTGTATCTTCCACAAAATAGCCAATGATGTCCTTTTAAAATATAAATCAGAACAGGACACTCCTTGGCTCAAAACACTCCAATAACTCCTATCTCTCTCAAATAAAAGCTGAAAGCCTTGCTGAGGGTCTCAAGGCACCAATGTTCTTTTGGACCTTGTTTCCTCCTTCTTCATGCTTGTCCCTTCACGAGTTTCACTGAGCTGTGTACTAGTCCTTAGTACACAAGGCCCTGCCTCAGGGCCTTGACACCAGCTCTTCCCTCTACCTGAAATCCTTTCCCCCCAATCAAGTTTCTTCCATTTTTAAGTTTTCCCCAAAATGTCGCCTTCCCACTGAGGCCTACCCTGATAACTCTTTCTAGGAGTGCAACTCAAGTCCTCATCTCCCTCACCTAAGTATTCAATGCTTTATTTTTCTTTATGTATTTTTCAGGACAGTATAATTTATTTATTTTTTATGATATTTATTGTCACCCTGCTCACAGTAGGATGCAAGCTCTTCAAAGGCTGTGATGTGACTCTTGTCTGTTTAGTTCTCTAATGTACTCCAACTTCTGGAACAGGGCAGGGCACATAGTAAGTGCTCAGTAAGCCTTGGTTGAGTGGATAAATGAAGTCAATTGTTCTTGTTATCAGCTGTACTCTTAGTAGTAAGTATTGAATCCTAGTCTACTCATCTCCAATGTACTTGTACTTTTCACTATGTCATAGTGCTCACAGTTCAGCTTGCTACAGCCCAGGTAGTACTGAAAGTGCATTCTATATCTCTTTTGATCCTAAAAATGATTCTGTGAAGTAGATACTAATACTCTTGATATTTCCATTTATGATACAGGGTTATGACATAGGTAATGAGATAGGACTTCTCTTTGATTTTTGAAATTTAGTTTATTCTTGGGTTATGGGATTTCCTCTCTTGGAGTAGATAGGGCACTGACATTGTTCAATAGCCAAAACTATTTAGAAAGATGGACATCAAAAAGCCTTGAATCCTAGTTATTTAACTTTGGGCCACTCACAGCCAATTTCCTCATCTGCAAAGTGGGAATGAAATTTTCTATCTCATCAAGTTTTTGCATGGGTTAAATAAGGAAACCTATGTAAAATGCCCATCTTGGTGCTGTTCCAGTGTATGTATTCAATAAGCAACAGCGATTTAAACCATTTCAACATGGCTTCCACCATTGGGGCTTTCCTACATTCTAACAAGCTTTCTCCTCTGGATCCGAAACATCTAAATGTACTTGGTGGATGAAAGGAAGACCTTACGTATAGACCACCTGAGATGAACTTGGGCTTGTGTCAGATCCCAGGAATTTAAGAGTGCTCCCCCAGATTATTCTACATGAACAGGGCAGCCAGAGGTAAGGAAGGAAGCGTTAGATCCTTAGACCCATTCCTCCAAAGCCTCCAGTCTAGTGTTGCATGAGGAAAAGTGGAAAGGAGGCAAGAATAAGAGGTCTTCACATTGGAAAAGGACTGCAGGGTATTATAGGGTCTAGTCCCCTGCCTTCAGGTAAGCCGAGTATGCATTACCTCCACTTTACAGGCATCATGGTCCATTTGGGCTAAATGACGTGGCCTCGTAGGGTGAGGGCAGTGCAAAGGGGATAAAACCCAGGTATCTGTGAGTACTTGAAGCAGCAGACCCATTGTCACACCTTCAGATGCCTGCAGGGGTGGGCAACATGAATGACTGACACAGGCTGTGGGGACTGTGGCGAAGTGGGGGCAGCCATACTCTGTTCCAGTCCATTGTTGCCATGCTCCCTGTGGTGTTTCTTATTATCTTCAAGTTTTTAAAGAGAATTGAAAATTTTAAGAGATTTTTGGAATGGGAGCAAACAGATTTGACTATGGTGTTTAGCCAAGAGGGGGGTGGTATTTATCTAAGAGGGATTTTTACCAACAACAACAATAATGCTTGACAATAATATAGTATTGTATGCCAACTATACTTTAATAAAAAATTTAAAAAAAATAATGTCCTATGTCTGCTTTTGCTCATCTGGCAAAGGGTTAGTTCTGGAAAGCACAGCAGCACATTCTTCATTCAGAACATCCAGTGTTGAAAGGATATTGAACGATGCTCCAGGCCAATGTACAGATGAATTCTCTTAATCACAGCAGTTACTCAGTGGCCACAGGAAAAGGATGAAAACAGATGAGTCACTACTGGGTTCAGTGAGAAGTTGTTTCAATCCTGCCCTAATGATCTGGTGGGCAGAGAGCTTGATGTCCTCACAGCTGTCTTCAGGCTAGAACATTGTTAACACAAGTTTGATCACTTAATGTCTCCCTTCAGATTTCTTAAATAGGGGAGCTCTCATAATCCAAGAATCACCTATGGAACAGTGGGCTGTCAATGGGTCCTCTGATTCATCTTTAAATGTCATAGCACCGTGATTCTTATTGAATAATAAATAAACAGTGATTGGCTCCAGACTAAAAAGTATTGATGGATGGACCTATCAGCCAGACTTTAGAAACACTTCTCTGAAGTAGTTGCCAACCAATACCAGTGATGTTGGACTAAAACATGAAGATGAAACCTTGAATCTATGACCCAGACAGAGCTGTCAGGTTGATTTCTCCAACTTAAAACAATCAGGATTGGTCGAGAGAAAATGATCTGTTAGTAAAACTTTCATTATAGTTGTTTTAAGAACATGCTATTATTGTAAAATGATTTTCTTACTAAAAATTATTTTTTAAAAGGAAATAAATAAATAAAAACAAGCAAAATACTTGTTTTTTTCCTGTGGGAGACCACTGACCCCCACTATGTCTCTCTCTACTAGTATGAGCTGTGAAATGGATGGAACCCATCTTCCCTATCTATTCTTTCCTGAGGTGTGGGCCAGTGCCTGGGTCTACTAGATGTCCAATAATTGTCTGAATGAAATGGCATTTCTCACCCATACATTGGCTGTCTCTGACTGCAGATTTTGTGTTTGCTCTGGAGCAGCTTTGAAGCACAACTCAGCATATTTTTACATTCATAAGAAGACACTGCATTAGATTTTACTGAGAGGTTTTTAGGGAAAATAAGGAAAATTATTTACCTTATAGAGCATTCAGCATTTCACCCTCCAATTCCCCATCAAACAGCCCCCATCCTGATGATTCAGGGACCCTCCAAGAGTCACTTCATTAACACGAACTCAGTTATGGAGCAAAGGGACTTCTTATGAATAACAAAGATTCCTACCTCTATCACTATGGAAATTTCAAGAAATGTATAAGCTCTGTGCCAGGAACCAAGGACAAATACTGAATTATTATTATTAGTAGTAGTACTATTATTATTATATCACAGCCTTTCTCTGCCACCTCCCCCTCCAGCCACATTGCATCAGAAACTCTGCTCAAGCTCTCCTTTATCAGAGGTGCACAGGTGTGTTCCCTCACATCACCCTGGTCTCTGCTCAAAGGTTAACATCACAGGAGGCCATTCTGACTACCACGCTCTCTAGCCCCTTCACTTCACTCTATTTGTCTTTGTAGCAATTATCACTGCCTGAAATTCTTTTTTTTCCTTTTTTAAATTATGTTATTTTTATTTTTTGCTAATTCTCACCCAAGGATATTTTTTCCATTGATTGTTTAAAATGTATCTTTATTGTTGAAACTATTACAGTATCCCATTGACCCCCTCCACTCTGCACCACACCCCCAGGCCTTCACCGTACTATTGTCTGTGTCCATGGTTTATGCCTATATGTATATAAGTTCTTTGGTTATTTATATTTATATATATTGATTTCAGAGAAGAAGGCAGAGGGAGAGAGAGACAGAAACAACAATAATAAGAGAGAATCATCGATTGGCTGCCTCCTACATGCCCCCCATTGGGGATCAATTCTGCAACCCGAGCATGTGCCCCCGACCAGAAGCAAACCATCAAACACGGGACCCTTCAGTCCTCAGGCCAATGCTCTATCCATGGAGCCAAGCCATCTAGGGCTCTTTAGTTATTCTTTAGAGAGATAGGAAGGGAGGGAGGGAGGAAAAAGGTGAGAGGAAGGGAAGGAGGAGGAGGAGAGAGAGAGAGAGAGAGAGAGAGAGAGAGAGAGAGAGAGAGAGAGAGAGAGAGATGTGAGAGAGACTCATTGTTTGTTTGCCTCTGGCACATGCCCTGACCACTGTACCACACTGGTCAGGACACTCCCTGACATTCTTTTTTTTTTTTTTGTAGCAACACAGATCCATCACTCTTATTTAAGAGTATATGGGCCCTCACAGAACCTACCATCCCCAGAAGGGCCAATTTCCTAAGATCACAGTCTGACCAGCTAACTAGCCCCACTCTGCATCCAGGAGGGAATGGAGAGACTCATCCAGGAGGGCTCTGAGACACCAGCGGAGCTGACAAAGAGGCCCCAGAGAAGTATGGGGGTTCCTGTGCCCACAAAGCTGTAGATCTTATGCCTTTGAACCTGCTAGGCTGCAGACCTACTTCAGTCTAGAGGACAGTGTAGAAGCCTGTGCTCCAGAACAAGCTGCCAGTTGCCTAGGAAGGAGCTGGAGGGCACATACAGTCTGGTTACTCAATGTTGTCATAGACCTGGATCACGTCCTCATGGTTGCCAAGAGCCTGGATGAGGTGGGCGGCCTGCTCCAGGTCCGGGTCAGCCAGCCGCACCTTTGTGTTGGGGATGAATTCTTGTGCACAGGACACAGGACACAAGCCCAGGGAGTCCATCTTCTTCCTCACTTGATGCAGTGAAGAGGCATCACAAATAAATTTAAAAATGTTTTGTTCCTCTTTGTCTTCAGTTTCGTTAACATCCTCAGCTCCTGCTTCAATCGCCAGCTCCAGGGCACGCTCTAGGTTCACTTCTTTCTTCTCTTTGTCCTTCATTCCAATCACAATCACCCCCTTTTTGTCAAAGGAGTGGCGAGCTCCTTCAGCCATCATTCCCCCATTCTTGTTCAGGATATGTTTGATGTCTGAATGGCACTTGGGGCCACTGTTAGATAATGCCTCAATGAGCAGAGAAGAGCCACCAGGGCCTCGACCCTCATACAACAAATAAATGTCCTTGGTTTTCTCCGTTTTCAGTGCTGCCTCAATCGTTGACTTGGGCATGTGCTTGTTGCGACACACCTCTAAGATGTGGGCCAGGTTGCTGTTGAGCTCAGGGTTGGGGCCTCCTTCTTTAACCGCTAGGCGGATGCTCAAAGTAAGCTTGGAGAAGATGCGACTCCTTTCAGTGTCCTTGGGACCCTTGATATGTCGGACTTAGGACCACTCGTTGTGCCCAGCAGGGCTGCGGTGGTGAGGTGCAGCGTCCGGCCCGGAGCGGGGCTACAGCCCCGGGGATGGGGCTGAGAGCCTGAGGAGACGCACGGAAGAGCCGCCTGGGCTCCAGGGCCTAGAGCCCGCAAGCATGGTGCAGCGGTCCTGCTCAGATAGACGGTGGCCCAAGCCGCCATTGGCTCCGACCCTGGGCCAAGGTCAGCAAGAACAGAGAAAGGGCAGCGGCCAAAGTCATCAGCCAGTCTGGTCACTGCTGGAACAAGCAGGTCAGGAGCCTGCGGTCGCCTTCACCTGCCACCGGTGACTCAAGGGCTTAGGCCCGCCGGGAGCAGCTGGAACTCCACGGACCCCGCGCCTCGCCCGAGCAGCGGGAGTCCCTGACATTCTTATAGACGCTTTTTCATTTGTTTATTTCTCATCTCCATCCTCACAAAGAATATAAATTCCATGAAGGCAGGTTTTCACCACTGTGTACCCATAGCATCTAGATCAGCTCCTGATACATGGTAGGAGTTCAAGAAACATTAGTTGAGTGGAAGAGTAAATATTTTCCTAGCTCTGACAGACGGATGGCCTTTGGGTCAAGTGACCTGCTTGATGCTACTAGGATTGAGGCAAAGTTCAACTTCTCAACTTTGCATTTCACAGTTGTGGGGATAAGGGTGAGGAGCTCTTTCTAATTCCTTTCCTTTCTCCTTTGCCAGGGAAGGCAAAATTGTAAAGTTCTCTTTTTGCTTCATTCAAAAATGGGTGTTCCTTACTCCAGGTTAGCCAATTGCTCAGAGCTCAGTGGGAAATTTCAACCCCAGCATTCCCTTCCCCCAAGAGGAGTTCTCTCTCTGTGACCTCTTGTGCCTTAAATCAGGACCTAAAAAGAGGAGACACTTGATGCATGCTTGATGATATATAAATGGAGAAATGAACAGGTGAGTGGCACATGAATAGAAGACCCTGCAAAACACATCACACATGGACCAATCCATCTACAGCATTTGCTGGAGCAGATCACTCAGGATCCACTTTCTATCTTCATATTCTCCATCACTCAAGTTTTGTTATGAACATTTTCAAATATCCTGTCCTCTTTCTTCATAGAAAAACTTACTTGCCCAAGTTTGGAACCCAGCCCTTCAGGAAACAGTTGAGGGATAACAGGTGGAAGCTCATTTTCTTGATCTCCTTCTGAGGTCTGGCCTCTCATGGACACCTAGGTGGTGGAGTCATTTCCCAATTTGTCCACAGTCACCAGCAAGAATGAACACGCGGCAGTAACAGTCTGAATGGGTGCGCTTCCTCAGGGAAGTGGTCCCTGAAAAATTTCCTCCCTTGGGGCATAGCAGACTTATTCACCCAGGTCATCTGCAAGATGGCAATGCAGCTGACAGATGATGGCGACTAAGGACCTTAAAAAAGTCGCCCTAACCGGTTTGGCTCAGTGGATAGAGCGTCGGCCTGCGGACTCAAGGGTCCCAGGTTCGATTCCAGTCAGGGGCATGTACCTTGGTTGTGGGCACATCCCCAGTTGGGAGTGTGCAGGAGGCAGCTGATCGATGTTTCTCTTTCATCGATGTTTCTAACTCTCTATCCCTCTCCCTTCCTCTCTGTAAAAAATCAATAAAATATATTTTAAAAAAGTAATAGAAAAAATTAATCTATGTATACATAGATAATCCTCCCTCCTCTGTTGTCTGCCTCAGATACAATTGCTGCTATCCTTTTCTTATGTATCCTTCCAGAGACATATTATGCATATACAAACATATTTATGTAGACATGTCCATTTTTTCTTATGCAAATGAGACCATCTTGCACACACACTGTTACCTTTCTCCCTTGGACTTGATTTCACATCAGCACACAACATGATTGCATTCCTTTTCACAATGCACACCTTGAGTGGATGACTATGATATACCTTGTCGCTTCCCTTTCAGGTTGCTTCCAAATTTCACTACAACAGCAATCATTCATTATGTTGATGTAATGACTAATCTTGGATAAATGCTGTTTCCCACACATCTGAGTCTATTATAAGGTGAATATCTAGAAATAGATTTTTGGGGTTAAAGGGTTTGTTCACTGACCAGTTTGATTAAATATTGCCAAATTGCTGTAGCAATGATAATACCAGTAAGAGAGTGTGAGAATGCCTGTTTCAAAACACCTTCTTTTGTATTCACTCTTAAGCAATTAGAGTCTCATTTGGAGTCTGTTTTAGGAGATGCCCAAGGCCCAGTTTTTGAGAGTGGGGGAATGATCACCAGTCTAAAAATCAGAGCCACTATGTCCTAGTCCTGCCTCTCTAATGCCCTAAAAGACCTTGAACCAGTTACTTCCCCTCTGTGGGACCCAAGTTTCTCAACTGATGACAAGTCCTTTGAACTAGAGAAGTACTGACTCCATGATCCCAAATCTGTGAATCCCATCTGGTATGACAATGGTCATTCACCACAGTGTGTAAAAGCAACTCAATCATCAAGCTCTGATGAAGTCCCATTCAGAGCCAAGCTCCGTGTATTAGGTAGGTGCCTGTGAGCTACAGAGGATAAAGCCTGTGGCTTGACCTTTTTTTAAATCCTCACCTGAGGACATGCTTTTTACTAATTTTAGAGAAATCCAAAGAGAGAGAGAAACATCGATGTGAGAATGAAACATCAATAGGTTACCTCCCACACTCACCCTGACCAGGAACCAAACCCACAATCTTTCAGTGTGCCAGATCACGCTCCAACCAACTGAGCTCACCAGTCAGGGCAAGCTTTGACCTTTTTAGATCAATAGCTAGCAAGCCTCAAGGAAGTAGTGAACCACAAGTTACAGTGTATAATCAATGTCACATTGGGAGATATGGGTCATAGGGGCTAAAATTGTTCACAGGAGGGAAGCCTGACACTATGTACTTGGTGTCATCATAGGATTCACAGAAAGGTGCCATTTACCTAAGATTTTAAAGGTAAGTAGAAATTCATCAGGCAGTGGTGCTAGAAAGGAAGCTGGAGCATAATAGAACAGGGCTCTGGGACACCGGGAAACCCCCATGGCAAATGCGGTTGTGCCTTATCTCTTTTTGCATCATTGTGGAGAAACAAAAGTGAACCCCTAATCCCCACCACCAATATTCCTTTTTAGTCTCAGATAATGGCAACTCCATTCTTTCAGTTTAACCTTCAAATCACCTTTGACTCCTCTTGTTCATGACCCATATCCAGGTCATCACCAAATCCTATTGACTCTACAAAAGAGATCCAAAATCCAACTCCTTCTTCCTACTTTCACTGCTCTCATGCAGGTCCTTAGTCGCCATATCTGTCAGCTACATTGCCATGCATGCCTCTTACCTGGTCCTCCACTTTCACCATGACCCCCTGCATGCTGATCTCAGCATGGGGGTAGAGCAATCCTGATAAAATGGAAGTCCCATCAGATCACTCCTCCAATGGCTCCCCATGCCACCCAGTATGAAGGTCAGTCCTTATAATGACCTATTAGACCCTATAGAACATGACCCACCACTCCCCTCCTTCAGATCTCATATCTTGTCATTCTTCCCACTTCACTTACACCTTCTCTTCTCTCCAGCCTACCAGCTTCCTAGCTGCTCCAGGTACACTCGAGCTTCAGAACCATTGCACTGGCCATTTCCTCTTCCTAGAAAACTCTTTCCTAAGAACTGCAAGCTCATACTGATTCTGTTGTAAGCAAAGGGAAGGCCAAATACTCGAGGCATGTCATTTGGACAGCTTTGCCAGGAAGCTGCAGCTTTACACTCCCCAAGGAGCCCCACAGATCCCTGGGAATGGACCAGGGACGGCAATAAACAGATGACCAGTAAAGTTGGGGGGAATTAGGGAACTTGCTTGCTTCAGCCACATCTGGGAACAGGTCATTGGCCAGAATGGGCATGGCCACTCAAAGTGCATGATGATTTGATATATTTAATCCCCTAAACAAAGAAGTTAGCTCTTTTGGCTTTTGGGCTTTTGTGCTCTTGGTTGATTCCTGGCTTGCAGGACTCTCACGCTCCTGCTTCCTGCATTCACCCACATGGCCCACTGCCACAATGGACTAATGGACTGTAACTAGTCTGATGCTGAACTGGACCCAGCTACAACATGGAATGGAAACTCTGGACACTGGTTTTGCTTTTAGCTCTTTTGAGACCCCAATTACACTACTTCCAAGACTGGATTAAGGAAAATGGGACTTTGGAAACTCAGGGATGTAATTCCGGGCAAACAAAAATCACTCATTCCCCCATGTGACTCTCAGAAAATTCTTTTTCTTGAGATATCATAAGGCCTCCACCCCCAGCACTCAGTGGGGAAAAGGATAGCCTACTTCCACCAATAACCCAATAACAATACCCTTGCTATCTTTTCAATGACCTAACCTGAAAATCCTATTATTGTTGCAATCTGCTTTCACCTTCTCTGCACTCTCAATCCCCCTTATCATGCTCTACTTTATCTCATAGTACTTATTTTACTATATAATTAAATTGTTATTTTCTTACATTTATTATTCATTGCCTATCTCCCCCATCCCCACCCACTAGAATGTCACCTCCATGAGAAACAAAGGATAAAGCCTGAGTCTTGATCTTTTTTTTAATCCTCAGCCAACTCATAGATGAACTCAACACATGTTTCTTGAATGAATGAATGAATGAATGAATGAATAAAAAAATCATGGGATTTTCTAATGAGCTGCTATAAAAAGAAAATAGGCTCCACAGTTATCATCAAAATGGGTATTTTCCCTCATTCTGTTTTGCCCTCTGTCAAGGAAACTAGAATGTTCTATTTGACTCTCAGTTGATGTCAACCAATCTGTTATGGAGTACGAGAAGCAGAAAAGCAGAGTGGTTACACCAAGAGCTTTGCTCCCTGCCTCTGTGGCTCAAGGTCAGATGGAGCTCCTGGCTCCAAGGAAGCCAATGGTGGAATTGGTGGGGTGGCCTGGCAGTCACCCTGAAGGCCCTTGCCCGGACATACTCCTCCACCGTTTCCACACCAAACCAGCAATTTCCCCCAGGTTTCCATTTCCTCTCTGTGCAGTTGCCTCCCTATGACAATCTTTGCCAAAAGGAGAAAAAGCCAGTTTGACTTAGGGAACAAAAAAAAAGCTGGGCTCAAGGCCAACCTTGTTACACATGCCTTCTTGCCTAGTGACTCCCTTCTCCTCCCTTTCCCCCCATAGGAATTAAGGTACCTCCTTTTAAGGGGAGGGGGTTTCAAAAGGAATGAGATGGGTGAGATGAAGGCAAAGATGGGGGTTAAGAGTCACTGAAGGCTGATGATGGGTGAGGGTAGAGGTGGCAGCG